CCAATTTGGGACAAAGCGGTGTCAATTTGGGGCAAAACGGCACTGATTAGGGGCACAACAGTGCCAATTTGGGGCAAAATGGTGCCAATTTGGGGCAAAAAGGGTCGATTTGGGGCAAAACGGTGCCAATTTGGGGCAAAAGGACGCTGATTTGGGGCACAACGGGGCCGATTTGGGGCAAAATGGGGCAAATTTGGGGGAAAACAATGCCAATTTGGGGGAAAACGGTGCCAATTTGGGGCAAAATGGGGCCAATTTGGGGCAAAACGGCGCTGATTTGGGGCAGAACGATGCCAATTTGGGGCAGAACGGTGCCAATTTGGGTAAAACGGCACTGATTTGGGGCAAAATGGTGCCAATTTGGGGCAAAACTGGGCCGATTCGGGGCAAAACGGGGCCGATTCAGGGCAAAATGGTGCCAATTGGGGCAAAACTGCACTGATTCGGTTCAAAATTGTGCCAATTTGGGGCAAAATGGTGCCAATCTGGGGCAAAACGACACTGATTCTGCCCTTTTGGGGCAAAACTGTGCCAATTTGGGGCAGAAAGCACTGATTTGGGGCAAAACGGTGCCAATTTGGGTAAAACGGCACTTGATTCGGGGCAATATGGTGCCAGTTTGGGGCAGAACGGCACTGGTTCGGGGCAGAACGGTGCCAGTTTGGGGAAGAACGGCACTGATTTGGGGCAGAACTGCACTGATTCGGGGCAAAATGGTGTCAGTTTGGGCAAAACGGCACTGATCCGGGGCAAAATGGTGCCAATTTGAGGCAAAACGGCACTGATTCGGGGCAAAATTGTACTGATTCGGGGCAAAACGGTGCCCTTTTGGGGCAAAACTGTGCCAATTTGGGGCAGAAAGCACTGATTTGGGGCAAAACGGTGCCAATTTGGGTAAAACGGCACTTGATTCGGGGCAATATGGTGCCAGTTTGGGGCAGAACGGCACTGGTTCGGGGCAGAACGGTGCCAGTTTGGGGAAGAACGGCACTGATTTGGGGCAGAACTGCACTGATTCGGGGCAAAATGGTGTCAGTTTGGGCAAAACGGCACTGATCCGGGGCAAAATGGTGCCAATTTGAGGCAAAACGGCACTGATTCGGGGCAAAATTGTACTGATTCGGGGCAAAACGGTGCCCTTTTGGGGCAAAACTGTGCCAATTTGGGGCAGAAAGCACTGATTTGGGGCAAAACGGTGCCAATTTGGGTAAAACGGCACTTGATTCGGGGCAATATGGTGCCAGTTTGGGGCAGAACGGCACTGGTTCGGGGCAGAACGGTGCCAGTTTGGGGAAGAACGGCACTGATTTGGGGCAGAACTGCACTGATTCGGGGCAAAATGGTGTCAGTTTGGGCAAAATGGCACTGATTTGGGGAAAACTGTGCTGATTTGGGGCACAACGGCACTGATTCGGGGCACCACAGTGCCAATTTGGGGCAAAATGCCACCAATCTGGGGCAGAACATCACCAATTTGGGGCAAAAACCCAGCAATTTAGGACAGAACAACACCAATTTGGGGGAAAATGGCATGAATTTGGGGTGAAACAGCGGTAATTTAGGGCAGAATGGCACCAATTTGGGGTAGAACAGCACCAATTTGGTGCAAAAGAGCAGCAATTTGGGGCGAAAGGGTAGCAATTTGGAACAAAGCGGTACCAATTTGGAGCAGAAGGGCCTTAATTCGGGGCATAACGGCACCAATTTGGGGCATAACAGCACCAATTCAGAGTAAAATGGTACAAATTCTGGGTGGCAGAAGGGTACCAATTTGGGCAAAAGGGCAGCGATTTGGTGCAAAATGTTACTAATTTTGAGGCAACACAGCAGCAATTTAGGGCAGAACGGCACCAATTTGGGGTAGAAAAGCACCAATTTGGTGCAAAAGAACAGCAATTTGGGGCAAAAGGGTAGCAATTTGGAACAAGGCGGTACGAATTTGGAGCAAAAGAGCTTTAATTTAGGGCAAAAGGGGCATAATTTAGGGCAGAACAGCACCAATTTGGGGCACAATGGCACTAATTCGGGGCAAAAAGGTAGCAATTTGGGGCAAAACTGGTATCAATTTGGAGCGAAAGGGCCTAAATTCAGGGCAAAACAGCAGCAATTCGGGGCATAACGGCACCAATCTGGGGCATAACAGCACCAATTCAGAGCAAAATGGTACCAATTCTGGGCAAAACAGCACCAATTTGGGGCAAAAGGGCAGCAATTCGGAACAGAACGGTACCAATTTGGAGCAAAAGGGCCTAAATTCAGGGCAAAACAGCAGCAATTTGGGGCAAAAGGGCACCGATTTGGGGCAGAGCGCGTGGGTGAGGGGCAGCAGCTGCAGTTTGGGGCAAAACGAGGCCGTTTGGGGCGTCGGGACCCCCCGATTGACCCGGTTCTGCCCCCAGGGGGGCCGCCCGTTACGACTTCACCCACGAGGTCCTGGCCGAGCGGGAGTCGATTTTCGGGGGCCGCCGGGTGCCCCGAGGCCGCCGCATCTCCCTGATCCTCCGCAACGCTCCGGAGCCGGGTGAGATGTAAAAAAACGCCAAATTTTGCAAAAAAACACAAAACACACGTTAAAAAAAAAAATGACAACGTGCCGCGGAAAAATGTGTGAATAAGAACATAAACCAGCCCATAAAGAGCCCGGAAACACCCCTTGAAAGGATGGGGAGAAGCTAAAAACAAGGGCATTGAAGAAAGAATTCTGTAAAAAAAACACCTGGGAAGGGTCTGGGGAAAACCCTGAAAATGGCTTGTTAAAAATGCTGGAAAAACTGTGTGGAAAATTCAGAATTCCATAAAACTATTAAATAGAACAAGAACAGACTGCATTTTAAAAAATAAAAGGATGTTATAGCACAAAAACCACCCGGAGACACCCCTGGGTCATCCCATCACGGATTTATTGTGCCGGAGCGGCCGAATCCAGCCCCGCTCCGGTCAGGAATTGTGGGAATTGCGTCGTTCCAGGTGTTGCTCCAGGTGGGAATTTGTTGCGTCTGGGAATTTGCTGCTCCAGGTGGGAATGGTGCCGCTCCTGCTGGGAATGGTGCTGCTCTCATTGGGAATGGCGCTGCTCCCGGTGGGAATTATGCCTCTCTGGGCGGGAATAGTGCCATTCCCGGCGGGAATGGTGCTGCTCCCGGTGGGAATGGCGTTGCTCTCATCGGGAATAACACCGCTCGGGTAGGAATAACGCTGGTCCTGGCGGGAATGATGCTGTTCCGGGTGGGAATGGTGCCGTTCTCGGTGGAACGACGCCACTCCAGGTGGGAACGACACCGCTCCAGGCGGGAATGGTGCCGCTCCGGGCAGGAATGGTGCCGCTCCAGGTGGGAATGACGCCGCTCCTGGCGGGGAGAACGG